TTATGTAATCAATTTAAAATATATAAATAAATTTAATATTAAATAGTGTATAAATATTTTACAAAATATACACATATTTTTTTAGAATTTAATTTTGTATACTAATTAAACAAATTTTATTTAGAAAATCCCAAAATCCCGATCCCCTCTATGATCAAGATTTTTCTAATTCTCATTATAAGGATTTATAGTTTATTTAGCGTACTCAGAAATGAAAATATATTTTACAAGAATTTAGTTATAGAAATGAAACAGAATAAAAAAAATTAAAAAAACATAATCATGGGTGCCAATAATATATAAATAAATTCTAAACAATAGTTAATATGTTTCAATTTTAATTTTTTTACTATTAAAAAACTATTTATGGTATCTGGTCATTATATCTTAAATGGTAAATTATATTAATTTGAAGAACGATTTATTTTTTATGTTTAACAAAATAAATCTTAAGAAACAAATATATTGGCAAAGATTAATTCACCAACTTGATTTTATCTGATTACTTAGAAAAAACTTCTACCTAACATGTTACGATTTTCCATAAAAAGTTTTGGATAAAAAGTGAATATTTGTAGAAAAAAAAACTAATATTATGGTTAGAACTTAAAATATGGTGTAATATTATCTGGACCAAAATATTATCAACATGAATCATAAAAATCAATCTTCTAATTTATTATAATGAATATCAATGAAAGTATTACAAATATTAATAAAATAATATTTATGTTGACCAAAATATTATAAACATGAATCATTAAAATCAATCTTGTAATTTATTATAATAAATATTAATGAAAATACTACAGATATTAATAAATTTATTTAAGTATTTATTTGAGCATATGTTATTTGATCTTATTTGAAAAAGTGTAAATAGAAGCAATTAATACATATATTTGAAAAATTTCTAAAAATAATATGCATTAAATGCTTCCTAAATTTTTGCTACTATTTTTAGCAAATGGTAATTCTTTTTATATAAATATAGATTTTGTAAATGTAAAAATCGGTTCTCATTTTTAATAAAAAAAAATTATTACATTAAAATCAAAAATTTTGAATTAGGCAAAATACTAACACATAAATCCAGTGACGAATCTAGATATTTGACTCAGGTGGGGGTGGGGGCATTTTAAATTTTAA